AGATGAGAATTCTCTGTTCACACTGTAAGATGAGGAAATAGACACTCAGAAGTTTAAGTGAATTCCTCGAGAATTCAAAACTAATAAATTATGATGGCTTGCACTCTGAAAGAAATATTTTGCTGTTTAGGCATAAAAGACCTAGATACTAGAACTGTGAGACATGTTAGTGATCCTCTACTCTGGACCAGTTTGCAAACTGACTCACAGAGTTAAATGAGAAGCTATCATGGGTTATAAATCAGCAAGCAGAATTTAGGAGATGGTCTCAATCCCACATTAGCAAAAGCTGCCATATCTTTACTTGTGTTATATATTGGGTTTCTACATAAAATTTTGTTTGCAGAAAAATTCTACACTGATATGATCATAAGATTCATTCTAGGGAACATTTTTAAAAAAGACTTTACCCCGGAAATTGATTCAGAAAGTCTGGAGAGGAGCTCAGCTCAATATATATATACACACACACACATATATATATATAAAATTTTAATTTCCCACATGATTGTGATGGTCAGCTAGATTTTCAAACCATACATCTATACAGGCATTTTCATTTTATATATAAAGAAACAGCTTCAGAGTGATGCGAGACCTGCTCAGAGCCCTTCGTTGCCAGAACTGGAATTCAAGTTGCCTAACCCCCAATTTGTCTTTCATTACTACCTTTCTAACTAGTGGTGCACAATTGGCCCTCTCTCCTTTATGTCTCATTTATATTATTGTATATTGATAGCATTCATTGTATACATGTCTATATGTAGGCATCATTTTTTAGTATATACATAAGAAGTTAACTTTGTGATTTGTATTAATGACTTGTGTAGTTAATGTGATTTTTCTTTTTTCTTCTTCGTTTTTTCTATATGTAATTCTTACCATTCTACTCATATAACCAAAATCTACCTGAATATATTTTTCCTAAAATGTAACATTTTTTTAAATGTTCACTTTTAAGTAGATGCTGGTTTTATAAAGTGCTATAATAAAAAAATGAATTACTCAAAAGTAAAGTATGTGGGGCCATTCTACCAAAATAATGAGAATCTGTACCTCCTTCCAAACAAATTGGTACTAAGTAAGAATGTAAGGAAATGGTGAATGATAGTGACAAGGGACCTAAAAAAAAAAAAAAAAAAAAATGGGTATTGCAGATTAAAAGAGAATAGAGAAACATGAAAATTAAATGCAATATGTGCATCCTTGACATGACCTGAATGTGTCCCCCAGAATTCACGTGTTAGAAGCTTAATCCCCAATGCAGCAGTGTTGGGAGGTGAGGCCTTTTAGGGGGTGTTATGCTGGTATGAAAAGGGTTTGCAAGAGTGGGTTCACTGTCTCGTGCGCTTCCACGTTCTTCCATATGAGAACACAGCAAGAAGCTCATACCAGGTGCCAGCACTTTGATCTTGGATTTCCCAGCCTCCAGAACTGTGAGAAATAAATGTTTGTCCTTTATAAATTATCCAATTACAGCATCACAAACAGACTAAGACAGTCCTGGACTGAATCCTAGATTGAAGAAAAATACATTATTGGGATAGTTGATAAATTTGAATATGGACTACTTGAATATATTATTTCATATATCATGATATATCAATATTATTTTTTATTGTGATAACTATACTATAGTTATGTAAAAGAATATCTTATATTAGAAAGGGTACACTGTAAGTTTGAAATCATAACAAAAATTACTCTCCAAAGAGTGCCCTGTATAAAAGAAGTTCATATAGAACTAGTTCACTTGATTACTGTCTTATATGTTTGCCTACCTTAAAGCTTCAAGCCAGCTTCTTTTAAAAACCTGAGTGGGAGAGGCGTACAGTAACGTTTTTCTCCTGAGTCATTTTCTTTGTAGTGACATTTCTCATTCTAAGTATTAAGGTCTAGATTCCCATTTTGAAACACAAAGACATGTTTACCAAAAATATTGTTTACTTTAGCAGTATCAAGTGTTTCCTTTGTACTGTAAGAAAAAAAGAGACCTACTGATTTTTTTTTTTTTTTTTTTTTTTTACTGTTTTATTTTATTATTAATTTTTGTTTTTACACTTGTTACCCATGCTGGAGTGCAGTGGTGCCATCACGGCTCACTGTAGCCTCGACCTCCTGGGCTCAGGCATTTGTCCACCTCAGTCTCCCAAGTAGCTAGGACTACAGGTGTGCACCACCATACCCAGCTAAGCTAATCTTTGTTTGTTTAGTTAAGTTTTTTTATTTTTTGTAGAGATGGGATCTATTGCCCAGGCTGGTTCTCAAACGCCTGGGCTCAAGCAGTCCTCCCACCTTGACCTCCCCAAGTGCTGGGATTACAGATGTGAGCCACCACACGTGGCCTGTTTTCTTTTATTGGTTTTGATATTGCTAAAATATTCCTCATGCTTTGTTGTTATGTATGGTACCATGAATTAAGGATAGCATGTACATTTGACTTATCTGGAAACATTTTTGACTTTGTTGTTTTAATAACCAAAGCAGTCTTTACAGGTAGAGTTATTCTACGTGGTGGGGCTAGCTATCAGAAAGCATTCCAAAAAGATTAATTTTGACAGTGTAATTCTACCAGCAAGAACATTATCCCAGCAGTGAGAATATTTATTAACTAATTATGGTATATGTCAGGTACTGTACTAGGCACTGGGGACAGAGTAACAAATAAGAGAGAAACTTCGATTTGAAGTTTCAAGGGAACTGCTGTCCTAAAAATCCCTCTGTTTAAAATTGTGTTATTGAGGCAAGTCAAAAAATAAACAAAATACATAAATGCAGGTGAAATATTTGGACATATGTAGTCTGTGACAAAATAATATGTTTAAAACCTTAAAACTGTTCTGTTGAGGGATATGACAGTCTTAGATTCTTTCCTTAGTTACTTAAATTTAGTTAATGACACTTTAAAGTGGCCCCAGCTTCTAAACCAGAGAATCAATGCTACCTATTCAGGGTTTGGGTAAGGGGATTTATTAGGCTTGTTACAGTGTTTGAATAGTGCTTATGTCCTCCAGCTTCTGTTGTACAACTCATAACCTCTAACAATCCTTTTGTTGTAACGTGATTGGTCTTTTGCCTTTCAGATATACTATGCATCATCAGTGGATTGTATACCATATTGTATTTGCTCCCACATTTAAATATTGCTTTAGACATAGTATTTTTTGATATTGAGTTGTGACTTGTTTCTTCTGCTGTTTCATAGTATACAAAGGTGACTCTGGCTTAAGGAAAAACTTTAGAGATAAGGAACTTTTACTCTTACACCACTATTCTTTCATTTTTTGACTCAGTGCTAAGTAGGAGGAAGATTCTGAGAATATTAAAATATTTCAAAGAAATATAAGAATATGAAGAGAGTTATACCGGAAATGTTTTCAAATATTCTAAGAAAGATTTAATACAGTAAAGCTGTAGCAAACTAGAACTTACAAGCAATGAATCATTCCAGATAGCTGAGGGTTTCTCCATTTGAATACCAATGTTTAAAAAATCTTCCCAAAGTACTAATACTGTGCTTTCTATAGTATTCTGTATATAACTTAATATTTTATTATGAAAACAAATCATTGTATTAACACTGTGATCACAACTGTGTAAAAAATTATGTATAGTTGCAACAAAGAAAAAATAATGAAAGCATTTTTTTAGGTTAGTAGTATTACGAAGTGATACCTTTTTTCAAAATTGTTTTAAGCTATGGCTCAGTGATTTGGGAGTTTGTTTGGAATATTTTATTTGGTTATCTTTGGAATTGTTAGTATGTTAAGTTTTTATTTTTCACATTCTTTTATCAACTCTGTAGTGTTTTGTGTCCTCTGTTGACTGTCACTTCCCGGGACTGTGCTGCCTCCAACAGGAAGTCTAAATATTTCTTTAAAAGGGTCTCTTGTTTCAGGTGCCAGCCAAGTCATTATCACCATACATCATCAGCTCATTTTGCCCAGACATTAGAGCACTTAGAGATTCAAAAGTCATTTGGAACAGAGCAGAAAGGAAAACGTAGGGTATTTCTCCTTTATAGAGTTCGTGATTCCCCATTTCCTTGTTGTCTTCTGTCACCAGGAAGCTGAGCAGTTAAGACATTGTATTTTGAAGAGATGGTAAAGGAGAAAAACCCAAAATTGTGCTAGAGGAGTAACACAGAGTTTCTTGATGGTTCTATTTTTTTTTTCTTTTTCATTAAAGGAGTTTGGCTTTGCTTTTTTTGTTTTTCTATGACAAAAAATATTTCTATTTACTTTAAAAGTTGTCAGTACAACACACCAAAATCATGAAAAACACAAAATCTTAAATTTAATTTGGAATACAATTGAATTTAAAAGAAAGGTGTGAATTTCAGCCCCCTTTTAATTAGCAAGTGGATGTTAACAAAAAGCAATCAGGCTTTGTAACTCTAAAACAGGAATCCCTGAGTCAGATTTGTAATCCCTTCTCATTAAAATTTTGACTGTTATTCAAATAGTATCTCTAAGATATTTTGATACATACATGAAAGCTTTACTGAAAACAACTAAAGCTCACCTGTGTCTTATTAAACATCTCAAATACTGATCTGATTCTTGATTTCTAGTCACATTTCTATTTTACATTTTCAAAATATGTATGGACCTACTTCATATACTTGTCATTTTAAATAACCATACAGTACAGTTTTTAATGTATAACTAAAATAAATTTTGGTCATTGGTACAATGGGCTGTTTTTGCCACTATAGTTTCATTAACGTCAATCTTAAGTAAGCACAGTAATTAAGAAAGAAGTAATACTTTCACATACAGCAACAGAATTTTTATCAGAATATATTGTAACCCTCAGGTTTCTGTTTTGGGTGATACATACTGCAACATTTGAACTTTCTCCATGTCCGCATTTCCTGTTCAGGGGACAGAACAGGTTTAAAATCCACTTAATGCACTCAGGATTCTCAAAAGGCAACAGATTATTTTTTCTTCAACTGTTCTGACTTTTATTGTTGTTGGATTTCTTTCTTGGAATAGATGGGGAAAAAAAGAATCAAGTGATGATTCATGGAATTGAGCCAATGTTGGAAACGCCTCTGCAGTGGCTGAGTGAACATCTGAGCTACCCGGATAATTTTCTTCATATTAGTATCATCCCGCAGCCAACAGATTGAAGGATCAACTGTTTGCCTGAATGGAATCATCCTTAAATGGAATTTATCAGAGCATGTCACCCTTTTGCTTCAATCAGGTTTGGTGGAGGCAACCTGACCAGAAACACTTCGCTGCTGCAAGCCAAACAGGAAAAAGATTCCATGTCAGATAAGGCCATTGGGCTGGTCTTACTTTGCATCACCTCTGCTTTCCTCCACTGCCATCATTAAACCTCAGCTGTGACATGAAAGACTTACCGGACCACTGCAAGTCTTCTGTAAAATATAATGAAGCTGAAACCTTTGGCCTAAGAAGAAAATGGAAATATGTGCCACTCGATTTGTATTTCTGATTAACAAATAAACAGGGGTATTTCCTAAGGTGACCATGGTTGAACTTTAGCTCATGAAAGTGGAAACATTGGTTTAATTTTCAAGAGAATTAAGAAAGTAAAAGAGAAATTCTGTTATCAATAACTTGCAAGTAATTTTTTGTAAAAGATTGAATTACAGTAAACCCATCTTTCCTTAATGAAAATTTCCTATGTTTACAGTCTGTCTATTGGTATGCAATCTTGTAACTTTGATAATGAACAGTGAGAGATTTTTAAATAAAGCCTCTAAATATGTTTTGTCATTTAATAACATACAGTTTTGTCACTTTTCAAGTACTTTCTGACTCACATACACTAGATCACTTTTTACTCTGTGTTACCATTTTGACTGGTCGTCATTGGCATGGGGTGGATATAGGGCATAGGATCACTTGTCTCAGGATCTGTCATAGAATTTCTTGCTGCCAATTAAAAAACCTGTGTTCTTTACACACTACACTTATAAATGTTGTAACTGTTCATCTTTGCTGTTTTATCACTGTAAGCCTGTCAAACCATAGTATCCTAAAGCATCTGTATATGGTAATTGTGCATTTTTGGAAAAACCCATTCCTTCCAAGCTAGTGTTTTTCATTGGCTCCAGGTCTGTGCCAATGAAAAACTGTGGTCCCCTGGCAGTCTGTCTTTTGAAGTTTAAAGATTACCTGTCTCCTGACTGCAGTACCTTTTCTTTAATTTTTACCAAAAATATCCAGAGGTTACTGGAGTTCTTATTCAATATAAGGAAAGTTTGCTGCACTTTATTACCAAGCCTCTGGGATTTTACCAATCAAACATATTTGTGCATTACATTTCGTTTCTTGTGAGCTAGCTTGCTGTCCATATTGAATGTTGACCCATTTGAGTATGCTAAAAGACTTACAGTAGCAGACACGATCATGGTTTTAGATCCCATAATAAAAATGAATGTTTTTCTTATAAAAAATTATATGAATGCTGAAGCGAAATTCTACTATTGTTCATTGCTTCCTTTTCTTTTTCCTTTTGTGATTTTCACTGATTAATAGCACATTTCTAAACAAAATTGGATAAAGTTAGTCAAAGACCAGATATTCTGGAATGGAAATTGTAAAGCTTAATCAAAAAGAATAACCAGTACCGAATACAATCTCAGAAAATTAGAAGCAAGTAGAAAACAATTGGTTGATGTAAACGAAAGTGCCATTTTAGTAAAGGCAGGAAAAAAATAGCAATATTTGAGTTATGTAAGGATAAAAAATCCACTGACTTGTATTTTTGCACAAGAGGCTGGTCTGAATATGATTGTTCACATTAAGAGTGTTTATTCGTCGGTTCGGTTTGGGGATTTTCCCCCTTGATGTTTTGACAGATTGAAGTGAGCTTCAGTGAGCGAAAGGATCAGAATGCAGGGAACACTAAGCTGTGATGAAGAAAGTGTGGTAAGAATGGAAAGCCAGAGTAGTTTTATACAGACAAGACCAGTATCAGGCCTTTGCAGTAGGCTTGAGCGACCTTCTGATCTAGATTTGAAAGTAAATAATTTTATCAAGCCATTGCCCATTTTTACTTCCTCATTCATTATTGTACCAGCATCATAACTTTATTACTCTAATCCCAGGTAAGTCAAGCCTACATAATGCCCCAGAGGAAGAGTAAAACCAGAAATTCATGCTGGCTTAAATAATCTATTTTTGTTTCTTTTTATTTGAATATTTAAATTTTATGGTTTATTAAAAAATTAAATAAATGTTGTGTCCGTCTTTATTTAAAACAAGTTACCTGTTGGTAAAATCATTAAAATTTCCTTAGTCACAAACTGTCATAAAAGTTTCTTGGAGAAATAGAAAGGATGGAGGGATATAGAAGAGAATATAAAAGAAAATTGGAGAAGACCCCCAATATCTTTATTTGACTAATAGTGAATAGTGACCTCCTAGGAAAATAGAAATATGTTTTTAAATATTGGCATTGTTAACTAGGAAGGAATAAGTTCAGATTAAAGTAAATCATTGTCCTTTATAAATGATGTTGATTTTCATTTGGATGGCCTAAATTCTGATTATGGATAGAGTTGAATTGATAAGCACCAAGATTTTCTTACAGATTTAGGGACCCGAAGTAACTTGTTTATAATTTAAGTTGACCTATCAGTCTTTATAGGATGATGAGGTATAAACCGTATTCCAATCTGAGTGTGAGGTGAATTCGTTTAGTGTACTAGTCTTGTTACATTTATCACTGGAAACAAGCTAGGAGTTGATCGTTTTCTGAGAAAACAATATATAAGCTTTGACATTGTGTGACTGTAGTTTTTAATGGTTATCTTTCTAGAGTATTTTTTTAATAGACTACTTGAGATAACGTTTTCTTCAGTTTTTAGAAATTTGGTTTATGTGTGCTGGGCGCGGTGGCTCACGCCTGTAATCCCAGCACTTTGGGAGGCCGAGGCGGGCGGATCACGAGGTCAGGAGATCGAGACCATCCTGGCCAACATGGTGAAACCCCGTCTCTACTGAAAATACAAAAATTAGCTGGGCATGGTGGTGGGCGCCCGTAATCCCAGCTACTCGGGAGGCTGAGCCACGAGAATTGCTTGAACCCGGGAGGCAGAGGTTACAGTGAGCCAAGATCCTGCCACTGCACTCCAGCTTGGTGACAGAGGAAGACTGTCTTAAAAAAAAAAAAAAAAAGAAATTTTGTTTATGTGGGTTATACCAGAGAATGACAGTCTCACTTTTATTTATCATATTATTGATATTTAGTTCTGAGGTAAGTTGGGTTTCCTGTTACATGTGCCAGCATGGTTGAAATACAAATGTAAAGCCTTGGGGTATGATGGGAAAATCAAGTGTGACCATATTTATGAATATTTGAACGTATTCATTGTCAATGGATGGAGTCCATCAAAATACCTATTTGCCTGAGACCTGTCATTCTTTTGTTTCCTAAATATATTTATCTCCTGGTCTGAAAATATTAAAAATTACAGGGACAGTAGAGAGGAAAGAAGAGAGGCATGCCTCTTTTCAGATCATTTGAGAGTAAGTGAAGACTTGGACATTATAAAAATGTATTTACTATGTGGCTTTCTTTGACAAAAGCATCTTTCACATAAACATGAATTATAAATTTGATTCTTTATGCTTACAAGCAGATATAGTACTACTGTAAAATCTAGTAGGCACAATATAGTAACCATGGAGTGAAAGACTCAATTTTTAGGTCCTTTAGGTAGCTCATTAAGTACTTAGATTTTTTTTTTTTTTTGTACTTTATGTTCTAGGGTACATGTGCACAACATGCAGGTTTGTTACATATGTATACATGTGCCATGTTGGTGTGCCATACCTATTAACTCATCATTTACGTTAGGTATATCTCCTAATGCTGTCCCTCCCCTCTCCCGCCACCCCACAACGGGCCCCAGTGTGTGATGTTCCCCTTCCTGTGTCCAAGTGTTCTCATTGTTCACTTCCCACCTATGAGTGAGAACATGCAGTGTTTGGTTTTCTGTTCTTGGGATAGTTTGATGAGAATGATGGTTTCCAGCTGCGTCCATGTCCCTACAAAGGACATGAACTCATCTTTTTTTATGACTGCATAGTATTCCATGGTGTATATGTGCCACAGTTTCTTAATCCAGGCTGTCATTGATGGACATTTGGGTTGGTTCCAAGTCTTTGCTATTGTGAATAGTGCCGCAATAAACATACGTGTGCATGTGTCTTTATAGCAGCATGATTTATAATCCTTTGGGTATATACCCAGTAATGGGATGGCTGGGTCAAATGGTACTTCTAGTTCTAGATCTTTGAGGAATCACCACACTGTCTTCCACAATGGTTGAACTAGTTTACAGTCCTACCAACAGTGTAAAAGTGTTCTTATTTCTGCATATCCTCTCCAGCACCTGTAGTTTCCTGACTTTTTAATGATCGCCATTCTAACTGGTGTGAGATGGTATCTCATTGTTTTGATTTGCATTTCTCTGATGGCTACTGATGAGCATTTTTTCATGTGTCTGTTGGCTGCATAAATGTCTTCTTTTGATTTTCAAGCGCAAAATCATTTTTATTAACTATGTTACTCTATTAGAATGATAAACAGTGAGATAAAGACAAATCTGAAGATTGAGGGATGTCAGAGCACTTTGATGTATAAGTTGACTCCTATGAAAGTGATTAGTTTGGCTTTCCCTGTGTAGCTTTCTTACCTCCACATCTCAAGGATAAATAAAGTACAAGCAGGCATTTTCCATTTTTTCCCCCAGTTCTCAGTGGAGTATATAGCACACAGTTGGTGTTTAGCCAGTGTGTATAAGAAGAAGGATTACTTAATAACTTTATACTCAGTGTTATATTTTTCTGGTAAGAATACCAGCCATAAAAATAGAACCTTGTCATTTAGAAATCAGTATACATACAAAGTGTACTTGGTTTGGCCTGGCATTAGTGATGAAGACTTGCTTACTCAAATCGACTACTTTCAGTAGGAACCACTGTGGACCAGACCCTTGCGTCAGTCCACATTCATTTTAGTTGCAGTATAGACCGCAGCACATATCTTCTGTTTCAACATCACTCTAATTTAAGCAGCCCCTAAAGCTGGAGCTATTCTCACCAAGCATCTGGAGGTATTTGTTAATTCTGACCTTTTCATAAATGAGTGATTTGTGTCTTGCTTTTGCTTAGAACTTTACTTCTGAAAATAAGAGCTATTTAATTCAACATTTCCCAAACTTTCTTGACCATAGAGTTTTTTTTCTTTCCTAGTATCACAACATCCTATTGAACTCTAGCATGGGAAATAGTGCATTAAATCATTAACTCCTAATGACCTAGATTTTATAGCATAAATCTTACTTTTCCCTTTCTGACAACTCTTTAGCTATTTGAAAGAAGCTCTCAAGCATCTGACTCATCTCCAAACAAAATAGCTCTAGCCTGTTCATTCCTTCCTCCAAATATCTCCCATTTTGTCAGTGTCACTCTTGAAATTCATCTACCAAGTATATACTGTATACTGAGTAATACATGTCAAGTCATGTGCTGTCGGCAGGGGATGGAGTAGTTTAGGTTTTCATAATGCCAATATTGGGTGTATAGTCTGGCTGCTCCGTTGTGCCATAATCTGACAGATCACATCCAGAGTAAGATTTAGTGAAAGGGCTGGGAATAAGTTCTGTTTACGAAACATCCATCCAAATATAAAAACTCAGGCAAATTGCCAACGGATTGGAGAAAACCTCAATTCGTAGGTATGAGAGTAAGTAGGAATTCAAGGGGTATATTTGCTCTCAGGGAGTCACCATAAAACTAGCCAAGAGAGCCATGGAGCTGAAATACGGTATTCTGTTATCAGTCACCAAGATCACCAGATAGAATGTGGCCGAGGTCAAGCAGAGAGGGACTGGCTTCACAGATGGGTAGTTTTCTGTGGTACTGGCACATAGAGAAGGTATTTCTGATCTCTAGCTGTACTTGTTCGGGACTTGATGACTTTGTCTTTTTGTGTTGCCTAGTGCATATTTTCCAAGTAAGGTATATTATCGAATGCTCACTTCTGTAAGGTGGGTTTTGATATTCTTGTTACTCAAAACTGTTAGTTTTTAGCTTTCTTTTACAAAGACAGTCACTCATTGACCTAGAAACTATCTGACCCCAACGATTTTGTAAAAGCCAAGGGAAATTTGTCATCTCCTGACTACCAGCCTTTTTCTGCATATGCCATCTCAACCATGTCTTGCTGAAGAGTTTGGTCATGCTCACTACCTGTATTTCCATGACTCCTTTTGTCATTGTTTTGAAATTCATTATAATGTAATACGAAATGTCAACTTATCCTGATGCTGATATTAAGTGAAGTATGACAGAGAAAGTTATTGATGACATCTGAAGGTATCACCAGGTCTTGGAGCCAACTTTAAAAAGTGAGGGAGCAAATCAGGTAAAAACTAAGTAATTTTTGTA